CCCTTAAGAGCTGCCTTCTCGAAATGCTGCAATCCACGTCCTATAGATTGACCTACAACGCTGTTAGGAAGGGAATTCCAGGATTTTGATCCAGTGACCACAAAGGAACAGCGATAAATCTCCAAGTTAGGGTGGTGAGTCGTTTGGAGGGGAACTTGCAGGCGGTGGTATTCCCATTTATCTGGTGCCCTTGTCCTTCCGGATGGAAGTGGTCGTGGGTTTGGAAGGTGCTTCTGAGGATCTTTGGTGAATTTCTGCTGTGCATCTTGTGGATAGTACACACTGTTGCTACTGAGCGTCAGTGGTGGAGGGAGTAGATGCTTGTGAATGCAATACCAATCAAGTGGGCTGCTTTGTCCTGGATGGCATAAAGCTTCTAGAGTGTTCTTAGAGCTGCACACATCCAGGCAAGTGAGGAGCATTCCATCACACTCCTGACTTGTGCCTGGACAAGCTTTAGGGAGTCAGGAGGTGAGTTACTCATCGCTGTATTCCTAGCCTCTGACCTACTCTTGTAGCTGCCGTATTTACATGGTGAGTCTAGCTGAACTTCTGATCAATGGTAACCCCCAGGATGTTGATAGTGGGAATTCAGTAATGGTAACACCATTGGATGTCAAGGGGCAGTGGTTAGATTATCTCTTATTGGTGATGGTCACAGCCTGACGAACACAGGGCAAACATTTTTATCATCTCAAATTTTAATGGTTGGACATGTACTTTTTAATGCAAAACAAATGTGGATATAATTACAGTGGAAGTAATATCACACTTTTAAAGTAATTCTGGCAGGATTTACAAATAAAATCAAAAAAGGGACATCAGCTTTACTTGTGAGTAGGATATCACAGACTCAAAATAACACACACACAGAAATTAAAGTCCTTTTGTTTTGAACCACAGAAGTTTGAGAGATACAGGAAGTGAACTGAATGGATATGAAAGAAAATGCTCTGGGAAACGGTTGGACAAATTGACTTTTTGGCAAAAGACATATTTTCTGAAAATGCAATTCATTGCTCTTGTGTCTTTTTATTCCCAGATGTTCAGAATAACCACAATTTTGGCATAAACCGTACATTGTGTGCATTATTTCACACCTCACCAAGTGTAGTGACACATTACACTGTAGCTTTGATACATGGACTGTATTTCAATAATGTGCTGTCTGGAAAACTATCTATACCTACACCGGTTCCCAAAATACATAGGGAACAGGTGGAAGGTCTGCCCACCAAATTTCAGAGGGTCAACCAATCAGGGAAAAGGCACTCTGTCAAATTCTGGTTGCCCTGTTATAGGAAGGATATTATTAAACTGGAGAGGGTTCAGAAAAGATTTGCCAGGATGTTGTCAGGAATGGATGGTTTGAGTTATAAGAATTGACTGGAACTTCTTTCACTGGAGCGTAGGAGGTTGAGGGGTGACCTTATAGAGGTTTATATAGAGGTATATCAATAAGGTGAATAGCAAAGATCTTTTCCCTAAGACGGGGGAGTTCAAAACTAAGGGACATAGTTTTAAAGTGAGAGGGGGAAGACTTAAAAGGGACATGAGGGGCAACTTTTTACACAATTACTAGCGCGTGGAATGATCTGTCAGAGGAAGTGGTGAATGCAGGTACAGTTACAATGTTAAAAAAAAATTTGGATAAGTACATGAATAGGAAAGGTTTGGACGGATATGGGCTAAATGCAGGCAAATGGGGACCCCCTTCCCCTCCCCCATTTCTGATGAAGGGTCTAGGCCCGAAACGTCAGCCTTTCTGCTCCTATGATGCTGCTTGGCCTGCTGTGTTCATCCAGCTCTGCACCTTGTTGTCTCAAATGGGGACTAGTTTGGTTTGCAAACATGGCCAGCACAGACTAGTTGAACCAAAGGGTTTGTTTTCATGCTGAATGACTCTATGACTCTAGAAATAGCATGGAGGGTTACAGCTTCCCCAGTCACAGGCTCACAGTCCCCTGTGCTTGCTGCTGGTATGTTCCTTCGTAAGCCGATCAGAAACAAATGTTGGATAGAAGAGTGGGTAGGTAACAAAGTGTTGGCCATGAGGTAATGGCTGGAGGATCATCTGCTAGGGAAGGAGGTCTGAGAGGTGGGACTGGGGGGTCAGAAACTGTCTTTTGCCAAAGCGATATATGTTAATATGGGTCCGGGGTGGCATGGAGGGGAATGTAGGGAGAAGGAAAAAGCTCCATGAGGAGGAGGCTGCAAGGAAGAGAGCTCAGTTTAAAATGTGTCACAAAGGAACACCCAACTAACTAGGAGTTGATTAATTGAAGTCTCTGAGGTAATGAGTTACTTGCAAATGGATTTGGAATCTCTAGTTTAAGGCTGCATTTGATGTAGAGCTACAATATGGGGTAAATGCAGTGGCTGCTATGGTAACAGACAATATGTCAACTGGTAAATTTAAATTTGAGATTGAGATCTGAGATGCAATAAAAACTGCCTGGTTAAAATATTCCAGAGTTGAGAATAAACAATGGAAACACATTAATTGTGACCTCCCCAATATGGAGGGTGTGTTTAGGGTGTTCAGTTTTGGTGTTCAGGAGTTTGTGTCAGTTTGTTTGAAGTTTGTTTTGAAATAAATCTTTGTTGTTACGTTATATCTATGCATTCCTAAATACTGAGGAGTCTAAGAAATCAATGCTTTCCTTCTGTGCTGTTGTTTTAACTCTAATCAAATGGTGATGATTATTGTGGATATTGTTGAATTCTTCTAATTCTGCTTCCATGGGTGTCCAAATACCTGATGTGTCAACACAAATACAGAAGGTAATGTTACTCCTTGACTGTATCACCTTAATAAATCAGAATCCTTCTGAAGGTGAATTTGAATTAATCTGAAACTGAATGTGAATCATTCTGATTCTAAGTGTGAATTATTCTGAATTTGAATACAACCAATTCAGATGTCAATGATTCTGAATGAGACTCTGAATCATTTTGAATTTGACTCTAGTCAATTTGAATCTCTATCATTCCCAATATAAATATAATTTAATATAAATTTAAATCTGGATCATTCCGAATGTGAAGCTGAATCATTATGAACATGAAGTAGAATCAAACTACATCTAAATCTGGATCAATCTGAATCCAAACATTTAAAACACTTCCATCTGTTGGACTCTGTCTGTCTCACAAGTGCACACCAGATCCACAGACATTTAGGACACTTGAATCTGCATCACCATCTCTCTGTACATTACACACACATGTTGAGATGTCATACACTCCCCTCTGCTGGACCCTCTCTGTACTTACACACACACACCCACTAGAACAGACTCCTATTTAACAACCTCTCGACTCTGTATCTTTTGTATGCCTTTTGAGACATTTCGCACAATGCTTTCTGCTGCACATTCTCTCTGTCTTGGACATTATCTACAGACATACCTTTAACAACCATCTCTCTGCTTGGCTATCTTTGTATCTTGTAGACATACAAACACATGTAGGTATTTAATGGAGTCCACTCTGCTGGTGTCGCTCTATATCAAGACACACACAGACGAAGGGACAAACACACAAGTGCACATGCACACATACACATATAGAGACACTCATATACCCAAGACACACAGACACGTGCACATGCACGCAGACACACACGAGCACACAAACACAAACATATGCATACAATTGTCTAATAACCTCTCCTCTGTTTATAGTTAGGTGAAGTTACCTTTTGTGCCCATTGCAAAAGATTAGAACAGGGAAGGAAAATCCAGAGAAAGGGGTGAATGGGACATGCTGGTCTGCCTTGTGTACTTTACATGGAGGGCCGCTACAATCAAGTATTAATGACTTGATAAAACATTAGGGAGCTGGATGAACACAGCAGACCAGGCAGCATCAGAGGAGCCGGAAAGATGACGTTTTGGGTCGGGACCTTTCTTCAGAAATGGGGGAGGGGGAAGGGAGCTGGGAAATAAATAGAGAGAGGAGGGGTGGGACTGGGGAAGGTAGGTGGGATGGCGATAGGTGAGTGCAAGTAGGCAGTGCTGGGGATTGGTCAGTGAGGTGGGAGGAATGGATAGACGGGAGAGAAGAAGGACAGGTTGTGTCGGGTTAAGGAGGCAGGGATGAGAGGGAGGCTTGGTCATGGGATGAGGCTGGGGTGGGGAGATTTTGAAACTGGTAAAATCCACATTTAAGCCGTTGGACTGTAGAGTTCCAAGGCGGAATATGAGGTGCTGCTCCTCCAGTTTGCGGGTGGTGTCATTGTGATGCTGGAGGAGGCCCAGGATGGACATGTCACCCAGGGAGTGGGAGGGGAGTTAAAATGGTTGGCAACCGGAAGGTGTTATCATTTGTCGTGTAGAGAGCGCAGATGCTCTACAAAATAATCTGAGTCTATGCTTAGTCTCATCGATGTAGAGGAGGCCATATCGGGAGCAGTGGATACAGTAGACCACGTTGACGGATATGCAGGTGAACTCCTGTCTGATATGGCTATATCCATTAATGGCTTGATCCTGTTTATTCCTGCTGGGATATTCTGAATTAGCAATGCTGCTGTCACCTCAGTGTTCCACACTGATCAATGTCTGAGACAGCTGGCTGTGTATGTTTTTGGTGGTTATGAAGTTCCCCTGTGCTTTTATTAAGATAGCATTCCATGGAAAAATGTGCAAATATCACAGGAGTCATCTTCAAGCATTAGGGAGCTGTATGTTGTCTATTGAAGGAATGCATCAAAGCTAACTTTCTCCCTGATCTGTTCAGCCTAATGTTGTCGTTTGAGTTCTTCGTGACTCAGATTGCCTTTTCCTTGGCCAATCCCTTTACCTAACAACCTGTTTATAATAGACTATTATTTAACACTGTAATTATCAGTGAAAGATGTTGACACAGCATGCGATATTAGACCTGATCTTTGGACTTTTGCAGCAAGATAGAGGACTGACTGAAGCAATCCAGTTTGAAACAGCTCTGATTAAAGGTTCGCCCGCGATCTTTCCTTCTCTTTCAGATGTTGAATAACCTGTTTAACGTCTCTAGACTTATCAGTCTCTATCCTGTGTGTCATTTGATCTGCTATGAAGCCGTTAATCTTTTTTTCACTGGTAGCTGTAGTGGTCTGTGTGCCAATCCAACACAATGAGAAACGTCAGAAAGCAAATAAACTCCTGTTGATCTCTTTTGATGGGTTTCGTTGGGATTACGATCAGGATGTGGAGACACCACATTTGGACTATCTAGTTGCAAAGGGAGTGAAGGCAAAATATATTAACCCACCCTTTGTAACCATGACATCGCCTTCACATTTCACAGCTATCACGGGTAAGGCATCAAAGCAAATCTTCAAACTGTGTCACTTGCTTACTTTGCAACTTCCTGTTAGGTGCATGAATGAAGACAGATGCGGGATGTGATGGGTGGTGGTGGAGGCAGATACGTTAGGGGCGTTTAAGGAACTTTCAGATGAGCACATGAATGTGCAAGGAATGGAAGGATATGCACCAAGGGCAGGCAGAAGGGTTTAGATTAATTTGGCCTCATGTTCGGCACAGCATCGTGGGCTGTAGGGCCTGTTCCTGTGCTGGACGGTTCTGTGTTGAAAAATAAGGTACATTTTCAACAAGATGTTAGTAAGTAACGGGAAGGAGGACTTGTAAAGGTTAGAGCAGACAGCAATGGTCAGCAGCAAGCAGTTGTTGAGTCCTGAAATGTTATATAAACACCTTGTGGGCAAAGTTAAATGTGTCACTAGTCATGAGGATCGTGTTTTCCTCACTGTCAGCCAGTGTGTCTCAGATCCAGCTCCTTGCTGTGTGAAAGTGTACCTCCTCCTGCTGTCATTCCTTCTTTTGCTAATCACTTTAAATCCATGTGCTCTTTTCTTTCCTGGGCCTTACACAATGGGAATAGCCTTTCCTCGCCTACCTGGCACAGACTCCCTCAAATGCCTTTATCAAATCTCCCCTCAAACGTCTCTTCTCCAAGAAAAAACAAATCCCAACTTTTCCCAGTGTTTGTATGTAAATCACGTTGCTCATCTCTGGGATCATTTACATGATTGTTTTTCGCAATCTTTCTGTCGACTTCACATCTTCCCTAAAGTGTGACTGTCAGAGCTGAACACAATAATCTTGGTGAGGTTGGTGCAGTGTTTTATGTGAGTTTAATGTAACTTCCTTGCTTCTATTCTCTACGTCGCATTAATTAAAAAGGCTCAGGGAAATGTATGCTTTATTAACTACTCCTACTCTGTTCGTTCACCATCATTGATTTCTGGACATAAATATCCAGATTCTTCTTCTCCCACACTCTCATTAGAACTATACTCTTTATTTTATGTTGTCTCATCATGTTTGACTGAAATGAGTCAATTCACACTTCTCTACATTAAATTTAATCTGCCACTCGCCAGCTCACTCCACCAATATGTTTATATCCTTCTAAAGTTCTACACCACCCTTCTTACAGTTCACAATGCTTCCCAGTTGTACGTTTAAATTGAATTTTGAAATTGTGTCATGTGCACCCAAGGTCTAGGTCATTCTTCAATATCAGGAAGAGAAAATATCCCAACAACAGTCCCTGGAAACTCTAATACAAACCTTTCTCCAGTTCAAAACAAATCCATTGACCCCTACACTCTGTTTCCTGTCACACAGCCAATCTCAGCATCCATACCAATGCCATTTTTATTCCATGAGCTCTATAACTTTACTCCCGTGCTTATCAAATATTTTCCAGAAGTCCGTGTAAACCGTGTCAATGGCATGATCCTCATAAACCGTCTATGCTACCTCATCAACAAACTGCAGCAAGCTAGCCAAATCTGGTTTTTGCCCAAGAAATGCAAGTTGACATTCTTTAATTAACCTGCATTTGCCCAAGCGGTTGCTAAACTCGTCATGAATTATCGTTTCTGGAAGGTTCTTCACTGCTAAGCTTATGTTGACAGGCCTGTAGCTGCTGGGCTCATAGAGTTGTACAACACGGAAACAGACCCTTCGGCCCAACCCGTTCATGCCAGCCAGTTATCCTAAATTCATCTTTGGGCAACTGTTTTAGAACATTTAGAATTCTCAAGTATCCAAAGAATTTGGTATTGAAACATAAAGTTCTGCCCTGTCACTTTCACCGTCCGCGGTGGGGAGGGGTTATTGAATTGGTTGCCCTACTTTTCCACTTTGTGGGAGTGTATTTTGTCTGTGCCTAATCTCCCTTCTTCACTAAAGGCAGAAAACGATATTGTGTTGCCTGCCAACCCTTGATCTGGGCCAGGTCCATTCTCACTATCGTGAGGTTGGTTTTGCCCTAGTTTATTATTCTTACTCTGGGTTGCTCCTTGCACCTTTCCCATAACCACACCCAGCCTTTATAAGAAAACGATCACTGTCCATAAACGTTCACCTTGACTCCTGCCCGAGAAACAGGGGAATAGTGTGGAATTCCCTCCCATGCACCTGGGGGTTAATAGAGAATACACCCAGCCAAATAGCATTGCCTCTCAATGATTTAAAACTCAAATGTACAGTAAGCAACTGGAGATAGGACTCCTGCCTTGGAAATTGAAGTCCTTAAAGACTGAATCCTCCTAGCATTTACTGGAGGGATGTGGGCCAAGGGCAGGCAGAATGATCAGTTTAATTTGGCGTCACATTCAGCACAACATCATGGGCCGAATGGCCTGTTCCTGTGCTGTACAGTTCCATGTTCTATATTCTATTTTGTGGCATGGGATTTTATTTAACAACTATTACAACAGTCATTAATTTTCCAAATTTTTCTCATGGGAAAACAAAAGGGAAGAACTCTGAGATCATGATACGCATTAAACCAGTGTCAACAATTTATCTGGTGCCAAATGTACCCTATTATCAGGGCGTTGTTTGGGAAATTAAGAAAGTTTTTTTCTTTAGAAAGAATGGTAAACGAACCCTCAGATGGAGGTGGGTAAGTGGACAATTGTCATCTCATGTCATGAGTAGCTTTCCAATGGTCATTGGTCAAAATAATTCAGACAATTGCTTGAAGCAGTGTAGGCTACTTGGCTGTAGAAATAGAATATGTAGCACACTTTGTTTTAATCAGCACTTTATGACCTGGCACTCTTGATAAACTGATAAAAATTATATACCTTAAATAGCACCAAGTTTACTGTATTAATCTGTCTATTTATTATAGTATTTTAATTTATTTACCTCAATGTAAATACATTTGTTGGTTGAGGGTGTGAATGAGAAGGCTCTCTGCTGATAAGTTTTATTTAAGGCAATGTTTCATCATTATTTAAGTCATTTATGCTGTAAATAAAGTATAACAGTGATGTGTCTACACCCTGCATTACATTTCTATAACTTAGTGTGAGTTTTACATTGATTGAGTGGACGTGTTGGTCAGCTGGAGTGCTTGATCAGTTGGCACACTCTGTGTCACATAGGTACAGAATAACAAAAACTTAACTGTATCTTTAAGCATTTGGGCTTGAGGGCGTTCTCATCAAGCATTCTTAAGAAATCTGACTTCTCTAGATGGAAGATGTTAGAATTCCTACAGTATGGAAATAGGCCATTCGGCCCATCAAATCTACACCAACCCTCCAAAGTGTGACCTCATTGCTGTAACCCTGCATTTCCTATGGTTAACCCACCTAGTCTGCACATCCCTGGACACTACGGGCAATTTAGCATGGCCGATCTGCCTAACCTGCACCTCTTTGGAAATTATGGGAGGAAACCATAGGACACAGAGGAATTCTACGCAGACACAGGGAGAATGTGCAAACTCTACACAGACAGTTATCCAAGGGTGGAATCAAACCCGGGTCCCTAGTGCTGGAAGGCAACAGTGCTAACCACGGAGCCACCGTGCTGTCCAAGGTGGACCTGAAGAAGAGGAGGAAAACCCAGGGAAGAGTTTGCTAACACCTCACGAGGGAGCAAGATGCTGCCCCCACAACTTTAATGCGACCAACACGTTCTGTCCTGTCAGCCTGTCTGTCCTCTGTTATTGGTGATCCGTCCCCAATTGTCCATGTTGCATACTTTCTTTATTTAAACATGCATCTTATTTAAATTGCTGCTTCTCAAACTCAATAAACTATCAGAAAATTGCTACCAATTGTTGACTGCATACATGAGGTAAGTGTGATCACAAACACCCAACATCAACACTCTGCAACCACCCAAGACATCTCCGTGTCTGAGTTCAAGCTGCAGCCAATGTCTTGTTCCTGAGGAACTCCCAATAAAACACCCTATAGGAGTAATGAGATCCCACCCAAATTCCCATAAGTACAAATTTCTATCCACACCAAATCTGCTGGGAAGTTTGGGAAATGCCAGGAACACCATATTACACAGTCAAACAGAATGATCGTTTTGTGTCCATAATCAACCATTTAAAGCTCAACTGTTACTTTCCTTTTACTCGAAGTAGACCAGCCCTGTCAATTCACATGTAATTGACGTTCATTCTGATTCACACTAAAGCAGAAGTTGCAAGAACTGAAAGCTTGTTTGTAATTTCTTCACTTGGGCTCACTTGTTAAATATAGTCATCTGGGAATGTAACAAGGTTTTAGGCAAAAAGGAAATGTTTATAACCCAGTGCTATATTAGATGTCAGAGAGAGGCAAAGTGACCATGTGGTGTCTGTCTTCCGTCTGAGTCTAATGTGTGGAAAAGGGGAGTTTTAAACTCTGTTTGAGCAGTTTTTAGTGAGTGGACACTGGTCCCCCTCATTGTAAACAATTTTCAGTGTTTCAGACTTTCAGTGAGAAGCTTATATTAATATTTAAATGAATATAATAGCATATGTTTACAGGAATATAGTAACTTTAACCGTTTAATTATTTTATGCAAACTATGTAACTCCCTTTGAACAATTCTATATATAATTGTTTTAGCTAACTCACTTAACAGTGGCAAGCATAGCATTTAATGAGCAGGCTGTCTTATCTTTGAAAAGGGAACCTGCTGCCATTGCTGACGCAGTACTATTAGGTTCAGAGTTTGAAGATTGTGGCCAGCGATGTTATATAGTCCAAGTCAGAATGGCAGGTTGTCCAAGATAAAGGTGCTCCCATGTACCTGCTGACTATGCACCTCCTGGTCATGGGGGAGCGTAGTTTGACATATTGCTGAGCTAGCCCTGGCCAGTTGTTGCTTTCAGTTCTGAAGATGATACATGTTACCGCTAAAATGTGTTAATGGTGAAGAAAAAATGACTTCAGGTCATTTTAGATACACTCCGAGAAAAACACAAACAAGAGCTAATGTTACAACTTAATTTATATGAACAGTTATCTTGCTGGTAACCCTTGATCA